CATATAAAGTATATCTTCCATACCTCTGATTGTTTAGATGCGATTTTTTATATAAGTATGTAACTCCTCTATCGATGTATGCAGATGTATTCAAAAGCAGTAATCTGTCAAAGTAAAATTTGCAGATGTTCATGAAAGGTATGAAGCCTTCGGCATAGCCGAAGACAGCGCTGCTCTTACTTGTTTCCATTATTTTTTATCGTTAAAAGATTCAATTGTTTAGTTTAAATATATTTTATTGTTTTAAAATGAATTATAACCTAATACAGTTTTATTTCATTGCTATTAACAAAAATAACTATTTTAAGTCGTAAATTTATGTACCATTTATAAAAGAAAATAATTAAAAGCAAGTAAAGAGGTATAAGTTTGGGCGAAACCGAACTTTATATACCCCGCGCAGGTATCAAATACTGTCGTAAGCAGAGCCTTTCTCCCGATTTCAAACGTTTTCGATAATATCCTGAGTTAAACTCAATGAAATAATTGAACCACGTTTAGTGGAAATCGCTAAAGTGGCTACCGAAATACACCTTGTAGTCACAAAGTGGGCGGTGTCACGCAGTCTTATTTATTGTTAAGAGATTGTTGTAAATATTAACTTGAATTAAATTAGCGTCTTCAGTTATTGAAATATCAGAGTTTCCGTATTTTTGAAATTTTCCGTTAGATATACGGGAAGCGAATGTAATTTTGGTCCGACCAGGTTTATTAAGGGCACCGAGTGTGGTAGAAATTGATAAATCGGTTACCGAGTTACACATTTGCGGTCATAAGTAGGCGGCGCCATGCGCATTATCCAAAAATGTATCATAATCTTATTTTCTGCTGAGTGGTTATCGCGATCATCGATTTTAAGTGAATTAGATTTTTAACAGATTTCTTAGCTAGACCCTAAATAAGGCTCGTACCGAGTTTGGTGAATGGGCTACTGAGATACAGCATTTCATAATAGGTGGGCGGGATCACGCCCATTTTGCAAAAATTGCACAATAATATTTTTTACAAAAATTCTACTTCACATACTAATTATGAACAATTTGCATCCAATATTTACTTAAATATCGTAGTTTTTGCATTTTTAGAAAATACCTTTATATCGGAAATGGGCGTGGTTACATTCCGATTCGCCCATTTTTAATAACAACTTAGTTTGGATAAAGGGCAACCTACATACCAAATTTCGTTGAGATATCTCGAGTTATCGTGTCAACGGACAGACGTGTTTATATTTTTTTTTTGGATTTTTTTGGACTTAGCACAATTGCGTACCAATGCATAACAACAAGTAAAAACGACATTACGGTAATTTTCTTTTTTGGTAATAATGTATTTTGAGTTATGCTATCTTACTGCATCAAAATCTCAATTTACATAAAAAGCGGACTTAGCACGCTTGCGAACTAAGCAAAAAAAAAAAAAAAGTAGTACATGAACAAGTTAAATGGACGGGTTTGTAAATTGATAATTCCGAAAGTGCCCAGCGTCGCGGCGGTCCGCGTTCGCGCGCCGCCCCCTCTCCTCCCTTCGCAATGATGCACTGGTGGCTTTGTAACCGTTTAGAAAAACGAATAATAATGATAAATGACACTAGTTCACTTCTGAAACTGATTTTTAATGTCCAAGTAATTGGAATTATTGCGTATGGGGTTATTGCACCCCACCCATGGTGGAATTATAACAGATGGAGTAATATTAAAGTGAGAAGAAATACTTTGACACTGCCTTACTTGAAAATTTGCCTATACAATTTTATAATAAGGCAGCCGAACGTCAGAAAATAAAGCGAGAAAGCTGTTTTATTACTTCAGCAGTTTATTGCGCCATGCATCCCACCTGCTTGTACCGAGTATACGTTCAAATTTAGAAGTGTGAGAGTACAATTTTACATATTTTTACATCACTATTTCTTACCACATGTTCGCTTCGTCTTCGTCCACAGTTCGGATATAGTTAAGCAAGTGATGATAATGCAGAAATTTCAACTGAAGATCAAACTCAAAACAATATTCTCTCTGTTATATGCTGCGAACAGGAGCGGTAACTTTTGTTTGTTCTATGCCATGGCGGAATCATAACAGGTGAAGTAATTAGAGCGAGAAGAAAGATTTTGACACTGCCTTATTTGAAAAATTACCTTTAAAACAGGGTTCAGAAAAATTCGTTTTCAAATGATTAAAATTAATTCATTTCATTTGTATTTGCGATCTGTGAACGAATTTTATAACATTTGTTTTCGTTGCCTGGCGACGATTGTTTTCTTTTTTTGTTTTCATTCGGAAGCATGATTCAATAATAANAATATTTAGTATGAAGAATTTTTGGTTTTACTACTAATATAACTAAAAACAGTAGAGTAAGCAACATTCTGCACAAGTAANTGACAGCTGAAATTTGACACTCCTTTATCTAGATTTGTATTTTGGAAGTAGGAGAAAGGGGAAGAATGTGATCGCCTTTTGCGAAAACGGTAGTAGAAAGGTACTAAAAAAGTGCGCAAAGTATACAATTAGAAGTAAAATGTGTATAATTAATTCGATGTGAATTTGCAATATATTTGTTTTTTTAATGGAAATACTAAACAATACGTATAAATATAGATTTTTAATTTACGTTACTCGTCATTTCCTGGAACAAATCTAGAATACCGACCGTTCAGCTATGCAAAAACGAAAAATGCAGATCAATAGAACTTTTTACGCTCATTTCAACCATGCCAAAATTATTTAGCTCAAGTAAAATATAAAAACGTTTTAGAAGGTTAATGTTAAATTTTTTGACTTTTTTTAAATATTAATATCTTATGAACCACATAACCGATTAAAAAACTAATAATAATAATAATAATAGATTGGCGCTTACACATATGTTAGTGTTTGGCCGAGCTTCTCCTCCGATTTGTGGCGTGCGCCTTAATGTTGTCACACAAAGCGGAGGGACCTACAGTTTTACGCCGACTCCGAACGGCGATTGTATTTTTATGAGAAGCTGTTTTTCATGGCAGAAATACACTCGGAGGTTTGCCATTGCCTGCCGAGGGACGACCGCTGTTAAGAAAAAACTTTTTTCTATTTTTTTGCGATGTTACTTTGACCAGGGTTTGAACCCAGGCGTTGCGGAGTGGAAGCGCGCACTGCTTACCACTACACCACGTCACCATAAAAATAATCCATTTATCTTTCAGCTGATAATTGACATTGTTTTTTATATATTTAAACCAAAACCACTAAAAAACGAACAAATGTTATTTTTTCATGAAATAACCTTTTTTTGGAAATAAACTGCATGAATAATGGTGAATTTATATTATTTAGAAAGTACAACCTATTATCTTTAATTCGATATACATATTTCATCATGATCTACTTTCGGGTTTTCAGAACTAAGTGATAATAAAAAATATAAATAAACAAAGCAAATAAACCTCATATATCTTCTTTATTTTTAACCTGCGCCAAATAAATTTGGTATCGTTGAAATCAGCGAAAAAAGCTCTATCAATCGGCTCTTTTGGTTATTTTATAGCTAAACGGTCGCTATTCTAGACTTGTTCCAGACTAATTACGCAAACGAAGGTGATGCCTCCGAATATTTAGTATGAAGAATTTTTGGTTTTACTACTAATATAACTAAAAACAGTAGAGTAAGCAACATTCTGCACAAGTAAGGATTTTATGTGTGGGAGCGAGAAGACTGTTTTATTACAAAACCTTTCTATTATTGAATCATGGTTCTCAATAACTTCAAAGGTAATTATATTGTTTTCATTCGTTATATACGAATGAATATGAACTGACTCATTCGCTCTCTGCCGAATTTGCCCGAATTTATCACTATTTAGCGATGTATGTATGTAAATATAAGTTGAAGAAAATTTATTTATTTTAATTCCCTTGTTTTCAAAGCACAGTATTATAAATTAAAATTATTTCAAACATCTACATATTTACATATGTATAGGGCGAGTTCCAAGTTGCATGCTGCTTTGTATTTGTATAATATTGTGTGTACATTTCGCAGCAATACAAAACAACATACAACTAGAACTCACACATAATTATGTACACTAGATAACAAATTTTCAAAAAAGTTCTGAGCTCTGGCATTTGACCATCATTTCATATTTAAAAATTTTCGCTGAGTCCAAGTATGAAGTCAGATATTAAGATACAAGAACAGTTTTCGAGATATAGCCAAATTTCGGTAATTTTAAATTATATACAACTTTCAAAATAACGTTTACGAAAATCCACTTCTCCGTATGAAAGCAGAATACTATTTTGAAAATAGCTGAGCATAGATCAACAAATGTTCCTTTTGACGTTAACTCGAATATTGCGAATGAATAGAAGAAAGAATGAATTTGAATCATTTGCGAACGAATTTTTGTTTTTTTATGTTGAATATCTCGTAGTTATATGACAGACATTTTTAATTTGTTCGTATTTTTATTTGCTCAAAGTGGTTGCGCTTGTGCTCTCTAGCTCGAATGATAAAAAGAATTCTTTATAATCGAAAATTTTAAAAAGCGTTCAATTCGAGGCAAATGTTTGCTGTAAAGAATTATTTGTGAATACAATTAATATTTTAAATATTCTCCCTACCCTGCTTTAAAATTTGACTAACTATAAGCCATGATAAAAATATTTAAAGGTAAAACCGCTCGCTCAATTCGTCCGCCATTCGGTTTTTTTTTTTGGCGTTTGCTAGCATTTTGAGTTTACTCTCTCGAAATAATTCAAATGTCAAATAAATTCAAATTAAAATTTATGAATTGAAAATTTATTTATTCAAATATGGGAAAAACTTAAAAATTTGTAGAATGAAAATGAGATGCTGCTTTAGCGGCTGCGCAAATACCGTTTTTCTCTGCAAGCAAAGCAGTATAATGTTCTTTAAGTTCTCGCAATTACGCAAAAATTCATCGAGGTTGGTGTTAAGGCAGCGGATTTTCCCAAGTGCCTATGTGCGCTAGGCTCATTTTTTGCCACACCACTTGACCCAAGATAGTTCTTAGCAAAAGTGCAGTGGCTTTAAGGTTAAATTTGTGTAAATGTATGCCAAAATCTTCACCTTAGCACGTGGGCAGAAATTCATTACACACAATTGCTTACATTTATTTATTTACATATGTACCTACATACATATTTATCGTCGTTTAAATTACAAAACCGCGTATCGTCATTCTGCAAAACCGCGTAACTGACATTTGCTGCCAAAAATTGGATTTGCTCACGCAAGCTCTTGGCTCAATTCTTATCCATTCTTCCTGAAATATACTAGCCAGAAATGCGATTGCTTTATAAAAAAGACAACCGTTTTGAAATATGAGTGTTTTTACTCTCTAGAAAATAATTTATGCAACCTCACATACGCGGTTTTGCATTATCTTGATACGCGGTTTTGCATTTTGTTGATACGCGGTTTTGTACTTAAAACGACGATATGTACATATCTATCATGATGCAATAATGAAAGGTGTTATATGTTGGCAATTTCTCGCTCTAATCCGGCATCTTGAACTACCTTAGGAGAAACTGTGATGTTTCTTTGCTAATTTCACTGAACATTTCCCAAAATATTAGAAAAAAATTCTAAACAAGCTACATTGATTCAATTTTCGTTGTTCGTTTTGTTTTTATTCGCTGACATTTGTTTTCTGATTGCGTGAAATTTGGTAAGTATTGTAATAAAACCGAATTATTTTACAAATAAATTATAATTTTGCATTTATTAGGTCATTTCCTTAGTGTTTTCCTGGCCGACCTGTGCTGGTATTGTAATTAAGAGCTAATACACGTAAGTTACAACATACTGTTTTGACTTCAATGATGAACCATTCCATGTGCAGCATTCTCTGGTGAACTGTAGCTGCGGCCGAATTTGATTGTGTGCATCATCCTGCAGATATTTTGAAGTTGGAACCAGCTCTTTGTTATTTCAAAACCTAATGAACCATTTATTCGCAGATTTTGTGGACGCTTCTGCTGTGCTGCGTTCCTGCTCCGCCTGTGTATTGCTCCGCCCGTGTTTTATAGTGTTGCGTCCCTGTTACGCCTTTGCATTAGTGTGTGCGTTGTGCTTTAGACACGTTGAAGTAAGTTGAAACCAGGTTTTTGTTTGTTTAAAACCCAAAATGCCATTTATTTGCAGATTGTTTTTTATGCTTCTGCTGTGCTGCGTTCCTGCTTCACCCGTGTATTAGATTGCTGCGCTCTTGTTAATATACACATCGTCGTTTAAAGTACAAAACCGCGTAACTGACATTTGCTGCTATAAATTGGATTTTCTCACACAAGTTCTTGGCTCAGTCCTTATCCATTCTTCCTGAAATATACTAGCCAAAAAATGCGATTGCTTTTTAAAAAAGGATAGCCATTTTTTGTGTTTTTACTCTCTAGAAAACAATTTATGCAACCTCGCATACGTGGGTTTGCATTATCTTGATACGCGGTTTTGCATTTTATTGATACACCGTTTTGTACTTTAAACGACGATATGTAGATGTATGTACATATATATCACATATATTGACTTAGATATGTATAGACAATTAATGATGTGTACATAATTTTTTTATGTTGAAACTAGATATGTATATAGTATGTTATTATTATTATTCGGTTCAAAAAAGTCCTATCTCAAATGAAAATAATTTGAAAATGTGCTGAGATAGGGCGTTTTTGGACCGAGTTCTGAGATAGGGCATTTTTAAATAAATTCTAAAATAGGGCGTTTTCCAGCCAAATTTTGAAATAGGGCGTTGAAAAGTTTTCTGATATCGAGTGTTTTCGACCTGGCTACCGAGATAGGTCGATATTCCACTCAGCCATCGATATATAGTCGCATTTTTCGGTATATAGAAGACGATTAAACACGATTTGTTTTGATATCAATTCTAAAAGTATGTTCACATATCAATATTATCTCAATCAAAGCTCGTTTTTTAATCACCCCGTTTACACAGGGAAATCTCAGATTATTAGCCGTCAAATTTGTTGTGCTTGTTATTCTCACATCTCAAGAAAAAGTTATGTTTCTTCTCTGTGCCACCGTGATTACGTTTTTCTGCTATAATAAGCAATATAAATATATTTTAACTTAACATTTTACTAAAAGTACCTTTACAAACCTCTTTTCCTTGCTAGCGTCCATTTTTGTTTACTTTTACTTTTCGTCGCCTGGGTAAAAGATTGTCTAAGCACAATTTTGACGATTTTTTGTTCTAGATGCAATTATATATTTTGAAATAAGGTCTTTCGATTGGTGTTATCAGTTTTTAGATAGCTCCTTTAGTTTCCGAGATATTGACTACAATTTTTTCGATAATTTAGTAAAAATTTAGTTAGTGATGCAGTCATATTTAACTAATCAATATCTTAATAATGGCGTTCACCATTTTTGGATATCTCTTTTAGTTTTCGAGGCATTGAGTAAAAGGTGTCGTTAATTTAGTAGAAATATTGATCACATTTTGTCGTATTTCATACAAATTGGCTGCCAAATTGTGGACAAATGACGCTTACGACAAAATTTTACTAAAGAGAAACCTTCATATACTCAAAACTAATTAACAATAAACATTAAAAAGTAAATAATTTAAGAATTTTGTGAACTAGTAACATTTTCAGAGACGTGGGAGAAAATCCACCTTCGCGTTTCTGAGAAATTGCATTCCAAACTTCAATTGCGATTTCCCACAACCTACCGAAATTAACATGCGACAATCTTTCACCCAAGCAACGATTTGGCATTTCTCCCCTTTTTCGCAAAAACAATCGATAAAACTAGGATGGACACCGAAAAGTTAAATCTGAGATTATTTAATAATTACAGATTAACAAGGAACGAGTTTTATATGGCTAATCTCTTGTTCTAATTACAGATTAGGGTGTTAAGCTCGAAAATGAGGATAATCTACTTATATGTGAACCTAGTATAAAAAATCAACGGTAATTTTTAGCCACTTTAAACTTGCATAAAATAAGACTAAAATTGAAGGGGCTATAAAACTGAGTGCTCAAAAAAATTCTAACACTTCTGAGAAAAAAGTGTGCATTTTGGGTGAACATTTTTTGTATTTTTTGTAGTTTTCTACGAAGTTTTAAAATTGGATTTATACGGGTTTTGTTAGAAATTGAACTTTATTTTTATTGCAAATTCTTAGAAATAAATTAACATGAGAGGGAAATAATATCACTTTGAAATGGGGTTGCTATTGATATGACCGATAGTGTATGTATATAATAAATTTTGTACAATTAAAAATCAAAGTGGATTTACTAAAATGAACACAACGTATTAATTATAAATTCTGAAATATATTGTTAATTTCAAAAACAAATAAATAAAACATTGAAAAGCAATCAATGCTTGCTGTATGACTCGAACTTGGATGTACGTGAACTTGGGTAATGTATAATTGTTTATATGATTCCACAAAGTATCCCTTATATAACACTGTGGAACCCAAAAAAACCTTAGTGCANATAAATTCTGAAATATATTGTTAATTTCAAAAACAAATAAATAAAACATTGAAAAGCAATCAATGCTTGCTGTATGACTCGAACTTGGATGTACGTGAACTTGGGTAATGTATAATTGTTTATATGATTCCACAAAGTATCCCTTATATAACACTGTGGAACCCAAAAAAACCTTAGTGCAAATATATCAGGTTTGATAGCTGTTGGCCATACCAATAATGCCTCATACTCAGATTTACTAGATCAATTCGTGTTCTCGAGAAAAAAAATTTCACGATCCAAAAATCTGAAAAATCTTTTTTCTCCAAATTTTGAAGATTTATCGTTTTTGGCCTACATTTTGTGGCAAATACCATACGAAGCAAATATATGCAAAAAAATGAAGAATTTTCAAAATTTTTAGAAAAGAATTTGGCCGCTATGCTCAGATTTTTGAATCGTGAAATTTTTTTTCTCGAGAACACGAATTGATCTAGTAAAACTGAGTATGAGGCATTATTGGTATGGTCTACAGCTATCAAACCTGATATATGCGCACAAGAAGCCCATTTGAAAGAGGGGGACAAAATATCACACGTAAATGAATTCCTCTATTTGGCCTGTACAATATAAGGGAAACATTTCAAATTCATAAGGGATAATTTTCTTAGTGATGCGGCTTATATAAGGAATTATATATGCCATACTGTTCTAGCTGGGTATTCATCAGCTCAAAAATTTCAAGCATATTATCATATTCCTGTGAATAAAAACACGCCTAATTTTATTATTTTAAGTATCTACAACTTTATGAGACTACCAATCCATATATATACCTATTCAGCTAATCGGAACGCTGTTGAGAAGGCATACAATTTAGTACTTTTTCAACTAAAAGGCTTTTTTTCTTCCCGTTTTTCTTGTACTTCCAAAATACAATATTGACCTAAGGTAGATCGATTTCGAGCTGTCACAACGTACAACACCTTTCATTATTGCATCATGCATATCTATGATTGTACATTAAAATTTTGTTGTTTTGACAGAAATATATTTCTTTGGTTTGAGTGAAAATAAAAACAAACAAACGAAATGACGGCGAGAGAAATTTTCAAAAATGCTACCAAACGTCAAAATTCCTAAAGCTGGCTCTCAGCGATTGTACCTTAAAAATATTTTTATCATGCTATAAGCCAGCCGAATGTCAGAAAATAAATCGAGAAAGCTGTTTTATTACTTCACCTGTTTATTGCGCCATAGTTCCATGCAAATATTTTAAGGTTTTCCAGCAATGTTTTTAACATATTAAAAAGCATGCAGATAAAATTCATACAAAAGCGTTATGTTCAATTTGCCGAGCAGTTATTAAAGATGCTTTCCCTGTATTTTGTTAGACTTTTAATAAGTAAAAATATTTTGTGAATTCATATTACTTTCGCCATATGAATTATATCACATTTTTTGTTTAATTATATTTTTAGAGTAAACAAAGTTATTTTCCCTTCTATTAGTAAGCTGTTTTTGTTACAAATAGTATAAATAAGCAAAGCGAAATAATGCATAATTTGTTTTATTTCCAACATTTGTAGGAAGCAAAACCCAGATTTTGGTTTTATTTCCCATTTAAAAGTGAAATAAAGCAAATTTCGCGTTATTGCCGTATGTGTTATTTCACCTTCCCCCTCAACAAACATGGCGGATATTATGTGACAGCCACGTTTTTTGAGGTTAGGCAAAAATCCTGACGTGGTGAAGCAAAGCGGACAGGATGGGCTACAGGACAGCTGTAAACAGCCACACAGAATGTCACATAATAACCGCCATGCCATGTTTTCTTGGGGCTAGAATCCTGACGTGATAGAGCAAAACGGACTGCAGATTCGTGTTCACGCCACCAAAACACATGAGGTAGGGAATCTCTGTCAAAATTACATAACATTTTTTGTTTTTGTGGGGCTGTGTTATTTGTCAAACATTTCATGCAGAAAGTTCAATAAAAAACCACATAATTTTGTTATGTATGTTCGATCAGTTTAATTTGGTTGAAATTGTAATATATGTTAGGCTTTTCTGATCTAACTGTTGTGCAAATTATTATTAATACTTTATTTTGCTTTTTCCCGACGTTTCGCTAAGATTTTTAGCATCTTCAGGGGATAGTTTTGTTTATTAACCTGCACATCAATAAATATAAAACATTAACCATACAACGACAGAAACGAAAAAATGATATGAATAATTTAGAAATAAATGACTCAGTTTTACAACAGAAACTTTTTGACTTACATTTAACATTTAATTATGGAACTTAAAAATAAAACTCAGTTTTCGGACAACCTTGGAATGTAGGTAACGCTGAAGTATTGATTTGTGGTGTTTGTTGTTTCTTTACATGATGTTCTATTTTGGCGGGTGTTTATTTCTGCAGTTATTTGTTTTATTAGGTCGCGCGTTAATTTTTCTGGGTACCTGTTACTTTTTAGGACCTTTTTTAGTTTTTTTATGTTGATGTGAAATTTCTTGTCACTCAATGTGAGCGCTTTGTGTATTAAATTTTTAGCCGTATTCATTTTGTATTTTTTAGG